TTTCTGGTATTGCTACACTGCTCTTTGATCATTACTAAATTTTCCCTGCCTCTCAGGATGACACTTCTGCTTCTACTGGAAACAAAGATCCACTTATATTTGATGGCATGGCAGATGGTGAGGTTGAAAAAAGACTAAAGGTAATTGACATTCATAGGCTCTTTTGATCCATGTAAATGGGCTTATTATTATTATTTTTTTTATAGAAAAGATAGCCTCGTTAAAAAACCCCTTCATAACCGCCATGCTACAAAAGTAGCTCAGCGGACATAGGATGGACGAAAAGAGTGCCAACAATTTTATTACTAAAAACCAGATGCAACAAAAGTACATAAGACCAATTACAACCACACAACAGCTACCACCGAACAAGAAAACAACCCAGTACATAACTCCTAACCAATCCCTACATTAAGCCCCTCGTCTAACCTAACCAATTCCCAATTTGGCAAACTCATCTGCCTTACAATTTGCAGCTTTCTTTATGTGCATAATGACCACACCCCTGCTTAACTCGATATTAGCAATGTCATTCACCACTGTTTTAAACAAAGGAGTACAAGAAGCTGGATTATTAATCCAGTCTGAAGCAATTAAACAATCAGATTCTAAAATCAGCCTTCCCCTTGAGGCTTATTATTATTGTTTTCTCCAGCCTATTTAGATTAGGTGAGACTGCTGATTTTAGAATATTGTCACTTATGGAGGTGAATTTTTTTATCCATAAAATATTTCATTTTAATTTGCTTGTTTCATCCAGGAGGCAATTTCAGCAGCAGCAACAGTCTCTTCAACCCTTAACCTAGATCCAAGGCTCGCTTCTTCCCTTCAGTTTACTATGCCTTCTTCTAGTTCAGTTCCACTGCCAGCAGCTCAGACATCGATGGTATCATTTCCAAACATGCAGTTTCCTCAGGCAGCGCACGTGATTAAGCCAGTGGCTCCTGTTGTAGCCCCAGAACCAAGCTTGCAAAGCTCCCCGGCTAGAGAAGAAGGTGAGGTTCCAGAATCAGAATTGGATCCCGATACAAGGAGGAGGCTTCTGATATTGCAACATGGGCAAGATACCAGAGATGCAACACCTTCTGAACCTGCATTTCCCCCTGTGAGCCCTGCAATGGAAGTTCCAGTTTCACGTGCTCAATCACGTGGAGGTTGGTTTTCTGCTGATGAGGAGATGAGCCCACGGAAACTGAACCGAGCAGGTTCCAAAGATTTTCATTTAGATTCTGAACCAATGCATATTGAGAAGCATTGGCTCCCTTCCTTTTTCCCTAAGGCTGAGAGTGCTATTCCATCGGATAGACTTCATGAAAATCAAAGATTATCAAAAGAGGTAATCGGTTCTTTGTGGTGGAAGGTTAAAGTTATTTCTTGTTGCTGAAACATAGTTATCTAAGAGCGTAATTCATTTGCAGGCACTTCATAGAGATGTGGGGTTAAACCATACACCGTCTGGTTATCATTCTTTTTCAGGTAAGCTGGAACAAGTAATTCCACCTTGAAATGAATCTGAACTTGCTTGTTATTGTTTGTACTCTGAGTTATCATCTTACTTGAAATTCCAGTCACAAGTACATTCTTGTCTGATATCTAAGTTTGTGAGCAGGATAACGTGTTTCTATATTCTTCTTCTTCTTCCAGTTTGAATAATCATTGGCTGCTATGTCTATGCATTATATATATATTTTTGTCTGATTTGGTATACTGTTCTACATTTTGAAGGTTTGGAGATGCCCCTTGGTCGATCATCTTCTAGTCTCAAGGATCTTGACTTTGAATCTGGACGAACTGTTCCAAATGGAGAAACTCCAGCAGGAGTTTTACAAGATATTGCAATGAAGTGTGGAGCCAAGGTAAGTTGGAAGTAATTTCTACCATGAGTTAGCTGGTGTTTATGTTACAAATATCATATTGTTTCACCTTGTTTCACTATATGCCTATTGCTTCTATGTTTTGTTTCTAAAACTTGTAGGTGGAATTTAGACCCGCTTTGGTTTCTAGTACGGGCCTGCAATTCTCCGTTGAGGTTTATATCCACTTTCACTTATAAAGCAGTTTTTACTTTCTCATTCTATGAGCTTATGACCTTTTTGTTCACATTAATCTCTTTTTAAATATATTTTCGGATTTGATTTCATTTGTTATTTCAAAATTTGATAGACTTACTCTTTGGCTCATCCTCTATCTTGCCTGTGGTAGGCTTGGTTTGCTGGGGAGAAAGTTGGTGAAGGAACTGGGAGAACAAGAAGAGAAGCTCAACGTCAGGCTGCAGAGGATTCTATAAAAGGCTTAGCTAGTAATATTTCTTCCTATTTTTAGTCTTATCTACAAGCATGTATTGAATTTTACGGGTTGAGATCACCTCTATTGCTTTTTAGGCTTACAATAATCAGTGCACAAGAGTGAAAAACCTAAAAGCAATCTTACACCTCAATCTCTGCTTTGCTAAACTTTTGTGATATAAACTGGAGACTAAGAGGATAGACAGTGAAAGACTACTTCAATGATTAGTATATTTTCCAGCAAAATGAGAAAACTACTTTTAACTTTTCATTGACCTTTTATTATGTGTTTAGTTAATGATATATAAACATGTAGTAATAATCTACAAAGAAAATTGCTCAATGGCTCAGCTTCACCTAGCTGAATAAAACATTTCTGCCACAGAACTCATCACTAGATTGTCCGTGTTCGAGTCTTGTGATTAAACCTATGTTTCTGTTTAATCTCAGAGGAAAGGATTTGTGGTATGTTTCTTTTTTGCTGTCCATATTCAAGTTCTCTTCGTATATTGTTCTTTTGGACAGATTCTGATTCTCCAATGATGTACTTACAGATACATATTTGTCACGTATTAAGCCTGATACTGGGTCCGCAAAAGGGGACAACGGCTTTCTTGGCAATGTGAATTTGTATGGGAACCAGCCATTGTCTAAAGAGGAATCTATGTCATTTTCAACGGCACCAGAACCATCTAGGCTTCTTGATCTGAGGCTGGAAGGCTCCAGGAAATCTATGGGTTCAGTCACCGCACTTAAAGAATTAGTAAGATATCAGGACATTGATAGTTTTTAGTCTTCAAATTTTGTGACTACTTGCAGTAATGTAGTCTTTAGGTTGGACTGATAATATGTGGTTTGTCTACAGTGCATGATGGAGGGCCTTGGAGTAACTTTTCTAGCACAGTCTCCATCTGCATCAATTACGTTGCAGAGAGATGAAATATATGCACAGGTTCGCACTTGACAACTCGTCTATTTTTTAAGGTCTATCCAAGAACGGTTCGTTTCGTTGAATTCATTGGGGATCCCTATTCATATAAATTACTTAGTGTGGCAGTAACCAAATTTCAGATGTAGAAGTAATTATGATTTTTTAATAGTATTTAGTTACTCTTCATTATGATTTCAACAGTTTGTGTATTCTGGTTTATGGTTTAGGTTGAGGTAGATGGGCAGGTTTTAGGGAAAGGTATTGGGTTCACATGGGAAGAGGCTAAGATGCAGGTATACCGTTGTTCTATTTACATTCAAAATTTTCACATTGACGACATTTTATACGGTAATTTTTTTCTGCGATCGTTTATCCCCCTTAGGCAGCTGAAAAGGCCCTTGGAAATCTAAGATCAATGCTAGGCGGTCTATTTACTCAGAAGCGTCAGGGTTCTCCAAGGTATGTGATCTTGATGGAAAAAAACGTTGTTGCTTCATTTAGGTTTTCTTCTTATTTGCTGTATCATTTTGTTATATTGGACCAAGGTCATTGCAAGATATGCAAAGTAAACGCTTAAAGCCAGATTTTTCAAGAGGTCTACAGCGGATGACTTCTTCCATTAGATATCACAAGAATGCTCCTCCAGTTCCTTGAAGACCGAAAACCCTTTCGGTAGAATTTTTTCTTCTCATTTTATAGTGTAGCAGTTGTTGTGACATCTGTACAGTACGCAATATGCACGACAGGTGACGGCAGTTGAGACCTGCAACCTAAAGTTGACTGTCAGCTTCTATTGTTCCTTGCTTGACATATCTGAAGCCCGATAGATGAGATCTCATGACATGAATCATCCCGAAGTGACCGAACTACTGAAGGATACTTGTAATCACCATGTTATCCTTCCTGGGGATGGACGTTGGTTCGGTTCAGACAAGCTGGCAAAGCGAGATGCCCAAATTCATGGTGAAATTTGGTGGAATTATAGGCAGTATTTCCCCCCCCCCTAACCATAGAGTCTAGAGCCCCCGACTAACTGGTTTGCTTGCTATATATATCCGTCAGTACTTGAGAAAAGTAGTCTTGGAAACCATAGTTTGAAATTTATGAAATTGGCTTAGTTCACTGAGTTCATGTACTACAATTTTGATAATTCATCACGAGTTTGGCTTTTCTCATGTGTCAGCTGCTTCATCTACTGATGCTGGTTTTGCATTTTTATTTTTGTTTTAAATTAGAAAAAGATTTACGATAATGAATTGGCATAGGTACTTCCAATCATTTGTTAATTATTGATGTGATTTAATCAGAAGGATACTAAATACATAAAAGACGTCAATTTTTCTCTATTTATAGATCCTAGATATCCCAAGATTCTCTCTTCCGTTATTCTCGAGATTCAAATTTTTGAATTTAGATTTAAAATTTTATCTTATCTTTAATAATTTTTAGTTATAAAATAAAAAGAAATGAACCATCAGACAAAATCAACATTAATCTCAAAAAAAAAAATCGGAAATTTTAATAGTATCTTGATGAAAACTTTGTTCCTGATGACAAGTGGGTGCCAACTTAGCACTAACTAATAAATTATGCATGAAGCAAACTTTATTCCTGAGATGAAAACACGAGGCCACCAAAAGAAACTGAAAACAGCGTCGTTTTGCTGTCTTTCAACTTTGAGGATTAACAAGTAAACTTGTCTATTTTATTTTTCTTGCCAAAATCAAGCCCCGTCCCGTTCCGTCGGCCGTCAACGTTTAGTATAAAACGTCAAAAATAAAGAAAGATCAAAATAAAAGTTTGAAAAAAAAGGAGCAAACTCTCTCTCTCTCTTTCTTGTAAGCTAAGAAAATTCCATTTCGATTCGTTTTCTCTAACCTTCTTTACAGAGATTCAGAGAAAGATGGCTTCCTTTGATGCGTACGGGATGGAAGAAGAAGAGATTCATACGACAGCAGATGCTGCACCAAATAACCATCCTTTCGAAGTTGACGACGAGAGCTTCTCCAATTACGGCTCTTACTCGAACTTCGCCGACAATCAACAGTTTCCGGCGGAAGGAGGTGACGTAACTGTGAATCATTTGGCTTCTTCTCCTGAGATCTTTGACTTTGGATCCTCCAATCCGTCCCCTGCTTACTCGGAATCTCCTTTCGGAACTACGATTCATGTGGAAAACGGAAACGGAGACGGAATGAATGGGTTTGGTGGTGGAAACGATGACGTTTTCGCTTCTGATGGACCGGTGCTTCCTACTCCTACTGAGATGGCACCTGAGGAAGGATTCCTTCTTCGCGAGTGGCGGCGGTTAGTAGTTTTAATTTATTTAGTTATTGAATCGCTTGATTTGTTGACCTTTTTGGGTGGATTTGATCTGTTCTTTTGGTTTAGCAATGCTTTAAGTCGGCTACGAATTGATGTGGCATTGATTGAGCTAAGATTAACTTTAAATTAAATTCGTTAATGATCATTTCGTGTTTTAAAATCGGTTCTTTTAGCTTAGCAATCCTTCTCAGCTTAGATCTGCAATGATTTTCTGACGGCTGCGAATTGGTGTTGCATTGATCATTTGATTGGATTAAGTTCAACTTTAATTCAAATTTGTTAGTAATCATTTCATGTTTCTTGATCTGCCGTGGTCTTAACTCTTAACTATGGCGGTAATCAGCTTGTTTTTGCAGTTTCGTTTATGTTCATTATGAAGTTAAAATTTCTTGTGCTCTCTTGTTATTAATTGAAGTTCTTGTTCGATTTATATTTGCCTTGGTTGATAGTTCGCTTCTTTATACTCTGTAAGAGTTATTAGTTGTGAAACACAAATTAGGGAACATTTTGAATGTCATTGCTACTTATATGCTCTCATTAGCTGATGGATGTAGCAGATTCAGATCCACAATGATTTTCCAATCAGGAGGTGTGTAAATATTTTTCTGAATAAAGCATGATCCAAACACCCGTTGCCTGCACATTCATATAATATAAAGATCATTTGCATTATTGTACTGTCACAATAACCTCAATGATATGAGAATATATTTCGCAGCTCTAAGGTGGTTGTATTTCTATAGTTCCCACCTGATCTCTTGTAGGTTGAAAAAACATGTTTCCTTTCAGCTTATGATAGATAGAAGAGGGTAGTTTTATCAGTGATAATAGTGAGGATGATAAACATTCAATAAGTACCTTGTTTATTGTACATTCTAAGAACATTCTCGTATCTATGAAAGCATATATTGTTTGAAATGCTTTGAACCTCTTATGACTTTGATTCCTGTGACATTCCGCATTTTGAACTCAACCTTTGCAGTTACTGTTTCAAGATCTGATTGTGAAATTTTCTAAATGTTCTATGTTGTGTTCATTTCTGCCGGAGTCCTTTCTTAGTTTGGGCAATGGGCATGATAGTTTAATGACATTTCTGAACTTTTCACTTCTTTTTCGATTTTGGTAGAGTGTCTTCAGAAGATCTATGAACTAAGGTGTCCATTAACCCTATATTAGAGATAATCTTGATTCCTTTTTTGGCTGTTTTTACTATATTTGCTGGTTTAGCTGAAATAAGTTTCTAACTACTATAGTATTACTTATACGAATACTATTTTTTTCTGAGTTACCATGTGTTTTTTATACTAGTCTGATCTCGTCTCGCCTGAACAGTGTCTGTAATCCAGTCTGGTCTGGCCTAACCCATTTTATCATTCATTTAATTAAATTATAAAGGTTTTATGTTATTAAATAGTGAAACGGACTCTTAGGTCTGGTCCTTGTGGCAAGTAAAAACTAAAATTTCCGAATCCAGCCTAACCCATTAATACCTCTAAAAAGTTGTATATGAGAAACCTTCCTGTTCTTTTCCCTTTCTACATATAAATTCCATTACCTTTTACTAGCCAAAAGTTCTAATAGTTGATTGTCGTTTCGTCATTGCAGTCAAAATGCCCTTGTGCTTGAAGAGAAGGAAAGGAAGGAAAAGGAGTTGCGGAACCAGATTATTGAAGAGGCTGAGGAGTATAAGCGAGCATTCTATGAGAAGCGGGAGAAAACTATCGAGACCAACAAGACTAACAACAGAGAAAGGGAGAAGGTAATATTTTGAACAAAATGTCTTTTCATTCACGTTATATATGCCAGCTGTATCTCATCGCTTGATTTTTTTCTGCAGCTGTACTTGGCTAACCAAGAGAAGTTCCATAAGACTGCGGACAAACAGTACTGGACCGCGATAGCAGAACTCATTCCACGTGAGGTCCCTAATATCGAAAAAAGAGGAAAGAAGGATGCAGACAAGAAGCCATCAGTTACTGTCATTCAGGGACCTAAGCCCGGAAAACCAACCGATCTTTCCAGACTGCGGCACATTCTTGTGAAGCTGAAGCATTCACCCCCACCTCATATGATTCCACCCCCACCCGCACCAGCAAAGGATGCTAAGGATGGGAAAAAGGCAAACAATGCTGCATCAAACGGAACTGCATCTGCAGAAAAAGGAGCACCTGTTTCATCCGCAAAAGATAACACCACTGCTGCCACTGCCACTGCCACAAATACTTCCTCTCCCGAACAAGATGCTACTGCCGCTCCTGTTGCGGCTGTGGACCAAACTGTCATGGAGTCGGAGGCAACACCAACAGCCTAATTGCTTACAGCACATTTACCATGGTTGTTTCCTTAGCCCCATTCTTTTTTGTTTTCCTCCAGGTTTCGGTTTCTTGCATATCATATTACCATATTTCCCTTGGAATGATTCCGTACCATTAATTAAACTCAACCCTTTCCTTCTGTTGTTAATTTTGGACATTTCATGAGATTGGATTTCCTGACTGAATTGTTTGTGTGAACTTTATATTGCTTGTGCAAAGTTCCAAAATTGTTTATAATGCGTTCTGTTATTTTCATTCATACAAAAATTGCTTGCTACTTGTCGATATGGAGACACCTAATTGTTGGAATATTTGATAAAGTGATAACTTTAACGAGAAAGTTAAGTAATCAGGTCTCCTCTTCTTTACCCAAAGAATAGTGTGAGATTCTGGCCTTACACTTTACATCTCTACATCCATACAGTGTGTATCAACAATCATTAAGGTTGCCTTCTAAGTACAATCCTTAAAAAGGCGAATCTCGAACACTTATTGCATATCAATTTGCAATCAAAGTTATAGTTGCCGTATGTTAAAGAAAGCAATAAACCTTGTAGAAACGTTTTTTAAACAAGTTCCTCTTTTTTCCCCCGAGAAAACTATAAATTTACGTTTACGACTTGGCAAAAAAATGAATTTTGAATTAATTTGATTTTATTTTTTGGAAAATTGGGATTTTGTTAAATTTGAAACTTAATTTGGATTTTGAGTCGTCATCGACTTTTAAGTTAGGTGGGTCGAATACCTAAAAATATCTTTTAAAACAATTTTAATAATAATCATTTAAAAAGATAAAATTGGTCTGTGTTTAATCATAAATTTATTTTTAAGGATTTAGGAGACGATTACGCATAGAGAGAAGGGTTAACACCCCACGGCATCCAAATTTGGTACCTCTCGATTATATGTTGTTTAAGTGGTGGAATTTTACGAATTTACATTCAAAATTTAAATCATTATCCTTTCATTTCTATAAATTTTAAAAAGGAATGATTTTTTTTATTAAAACACTTAACTCGATAAACATAATTTAATTCACTTTATTTTTATTTAAGAAGGATGTCCCCTCACTGCTTGAATCAATGGAAATTGAAATCCAGTCATGTTAGACGTAATTCCATTAACTTACGATGCAAGACAATATTACATTTATTTATTCCAGGAAACGAGACAATAAATACATGATTTATAAATGCGGCGACAATAAACGACATACAAAGGATATACGAAATGTCAACAAATAAATAAATAAATAAAATAAAACTAAACAATGATAAATAAACAAATACATAAAATAATAATAAAATATACATAAAAAACTAATTGATAACCAAAACACATAATAATAATAATAATAATAATAATAATAATAATAATAACCTAATTTGTACATTAACATTAAATACTTGAAATTAAATAACTTAAAATAAATGAAAATTTTGAATTAGGAACCGATCGAAAATAGGTGTTAGCAGCTCCCTTCTTTACCCATTAGTGAGAAAACATTAATAGGGCAAAGATAAAAAAAACACATTAATTTTTGTTCGGCTCCTTCTTTTGCTTTGAAATTCGATATTATCTTAGGTGAGACTAAAGAACTTTTTATATCAAGGGAGATATTTTCATGGTTCGTATCTCGAAAAAACGATCTCAAGAGAGATGATATTTTCTAGAGATACTATTTTAAAATTCTTATTTCGAGGAAAGCTGTGTTGAGCAAGGTGAAATTTTGTTTTAAGAGAAACGATCTCAATGGAGACCAACGATCTATTCCTTCGCGTCGAGGAAGTCTTGTCATTTGAATGACTACATCTGAAGACAATATTGTTCCTTCGCGTTGAGGAAGTCTGATTGCCTGGAGATAATTTGATTTTGGAAATGACACCGCTCCTACGTGATGAGGAGATCTGGTTATTTTGAGTGGTTTGCTCGATGTCAGATCTGATGATGACATAGTTCTGTCACGTTGAGGAGATCTAGTCATTGGACGATATTGTTTCTTGATGTTGAGGACATCTAGTCGTACTTGGGTAATTTGCTTCTTCGTTTGTGGAAGTCAAATTTTGAAGACAACATTACTCATTCGTGTTAAGGAGATCTAGTTGTTACCAATCCTTTTCTTCCTAAAAGGTTTGTAAAAAAATTTTGCATGTATGAATGTAACTATTTTGAATGTTTTCATGAATATCATGATGAAATTCATCTGATGTTTTTGATCTTATTGAAAACGAGCTTTCAAATTTTTCCTCATGAGAGGTGAAAATGGTTTTATCTAAGACAAAAAGTTAAGATAAATTTTAAAGGTATCCTCGTGAGAGGGAAGTCTAAGTTTGTTATGTTGCATGTGATGATGATTATTTGATGCAAATATGCAAATTCATGTAACATGTATGTATATGCGAACACATGTTTTCTTGATCAACAGTTAAGAATGATTGCACGAGCCGTTTTCATTCTCTTCTTGTTTTGTTCGTCTTCATTCTCTTCTTGTTTTGTTCGTCTTCATTCTTTTTTGACACCTTACAATTCTTGACTTGTGTCAATTTGTTCTTCTTGCCCCAGTTCTAATTCTGAGCTTCTATGTCCGAGAGACATTTGCCAATTTCTGAGATCTGCTCCCCAGAGAGACTGTCTTATTTTAAAATGTTTTTTTTTCAAAAGGTGAAAAAGTTCAATGAATAAGTTTTGAAAATATTTTATGAAATAATTTTGAGAAATGTTTAACGAAAGAATTTTGAAAAATGTTTGATGAAAAAATTGGAAAATGTTGTCATTTACTTCAGGTTCACAATTAAGACAAATTACAAAACAAGAGTTCATTAGATATCAAAAGGATTAACTATTTTCTTAATTTTTTAAAGTTATGATTCATTGACAAATGTCAAGATTTGGTTGGTTGCTTTTAGGTTGGTTTCTTAAATTTTCTATGTTTTTGTCATCGAGTTGTCATTGTTTTTTCTGAACTTTGAACATTGTGGCATGCTCCTCATTCTTGGCTTGGTATTTTAATCAGATACAGACAAAATGACGTAACTAGCATACTTAACTGCTAGAGTTTTTAGAACACCTCTTGTAACACCCCATACCCTGTCATGAGAAAATTCCTGGGTACCTGAGCGCACATTAGATTTCAATCTTGTCGAATAAAATAAAACCCTAAATCACGTGTACTAAGCAGAAGAATACAAATTTAAATCAAACATTATGCAACACTTGGCAAAAAATATCAACGAATAAACTAAAATATCGAAGCAATCTAAACAATCCATAATCATCGCAACCAACCAATCAAGGGTAAATCTATCATTTACATAACCAATAATTACAAGGTGAATCATCGAATTAAGGTTGTTAATATTCATTATTAATCTTTAATTAGTGATATGAAAATTTTCATATTAATCGGACATCAAACGGGGACTTAATTTAATATACCATTCTAGGGACTAAAACGTAAACAACTCAAAAGTTACATACAAGCAACAACATGCAATTGACACTTTCATTATGTAAAGTGACAACTCAAGTTTCATCAAATTCCAAGTTAAGGTCTAATATTAATTAGCAAATCAATTTCTGGACCATTTTGAACTTATATAAACATCTTGGGTCAGACTAAGACTTAGGGATACTTTGGGCCTTTAATGAATGTAGTTTTACCATTTTTTATCGAGCACAAAGAGAAGGGATCGATCCTTTTAAACAGGGACTTAATTTAATATACCATTTCAAAAAGCTGTTTTTTGTCAAGACAATGATAAAGCTCCGGGTCCCGACGGATTCACTCCCTATTTCTTCAAGAAATCATGGAATATAGTGGGTGAGGATGTTGTTGCTGCAGTTAAATTTTTCTTTCTTAATGCTTCAATTCATCCTTCATTTAATTTAACTATTATTTCTCTTGTTCCTAAAAAACCAAATCCGAGTGTTGTAAAAGACTTTCGGCCGATCTCCTGTTGTTCTGTAATCTAAAAGATCATTACTAAAATCATTGTTAGAAAATTGGCTGATTTTCTCCCTGAGATTATCACTTTCAATCAAACGGCATTCATCAAAGGAAGGAGCATTATTGATAATACCCTTCTTGCTCAAGAGTTGGTTAAAGGTTATGGCAGAAACTCTATCTCCCCAAGATGCGCTTTGAAAATCGATATTCAAAAAGCTTTTGACTCCATTAATTGGGGATTCATCTCACAAATTCTTAAAGCTCTCCAACTTCCTCAGGCTTTCATTGCTTGGATCGAAGCTTGTTTCACAGGAGCTAGGTTCTCCATTTCTTTTAATGGGACCTTAATTGGTTACTTTAAAGGTGCAAGAGGTCTAAGGCAGGGAGACCCTCTATCCCCTTATCTTTTTGTTCTAGCAATGAATATTTTATCTCGAATGCTTAATTTATCTGCCGAAAGAGGAATGTTTGGTTTCCATCCTAAATGCAGGAAAATTGGCCTAACTCATCTATCATTTGCTGATGATCTAATGATCTTTTGCAAGGGTAACATTGAATCTTTTGTTGGCGTACTCACTATTCTTGATCATTTCTATGAAATATCTGGGCTTAAACTGAATCCTTCCAAATGTGAGATTTTTGCTGCGGGGATTACATTAAGAACTATTGAGGAATTAAAATTGATTACTGGGTTTCATATTGGAATTCTTCCTGTCCGTTATCTTGGTATTCCTCTTGTCACCCGTAAGCTTACCGAAAAGGACTGTCAAGCTTTAATTGATAACATCAAGCTCAAGCTTCATCATTGGACTGGGAGAAATCTCAGTTATGCAGGAAGATTAGAGCTCATTAGATCAGTCTTATTCAACGTCAACAACTACTGGTGTAGACAACTTGTTTTGCCAGCTTCAATCCTTAAAAAAGTGGAACAGCTTTGCTCAAGGTACTTCTGGAAAGGAGCAGATAAATCTGCTGTTGGTGCTCGTGTGAGCTGAGAAATTATTTGTCTATCTAAATCGGAAGGTGGCCTCGGATTGAAGAACATTAAATCTTGGAATAGAGCTTGTCTCATTAGTCTAATTTGGAAAATATTAGCGGGAGATGGATCACTGTGGGTTGCATGGTTAAAGGCATACGTTTTTAAGGAGCATGACTTTTGGAAATTCCGAGCTGCTGCAAATGTAAGTTGGAGTATCGGCAGAATATTAAAATCAAGGGTTGAAGCTCTTCCAATTCTTTCAGTCGGTTCTCCACAAGTAAAAGAAATTTGGGGCTTGATTCGATCTAAAGGGAAAAATATTTCATGGCATAAAATAATTTGGTTCCCATTGCATATTCCGAAGTTTAGTTTGATAGCTTGGATGGCTTTACTGAACAAATTGCCAACTAGAGACAGGCTTCTTCGAATGGGAATTAGTACTGACGGTATTTGTGTTAATTACAGCAACTCAAACGAGACAAGGGACTATCTCTTTTCGCATTGTTCACTAGCAACATATCTCTGGAACTCAATTCTGAACCTTAATGGGATGAAGACTACTTATTTATCATGGGAAGATATGGTTTCGAAGGCATGTTCATCATGGAAAGGGAGGTCTCTTCTTACTACCATTCTTAAACTCTCTTGGACTGCTTTTATCTACTCTTTGTGGCAGGAAAGAAATCAGAGAATATTTCAAGGACGACGTAGAACGATCGAATGTTTGCTCAAAGATGTTAAAGACGTTGTCGGAATCCGCCTCAGGAGAACTAATATTAATAGACTTGATAGTACGAACTTAAGGCTTTGTAAGGTTTGGGGTATAGTCTAACCAATCATTTTGTAGGCTGTTTATTTGATTCTTTCGTTGTAGATTGGTGGATTGGTTGTAATTAAACCTTGAGTTGGGTAATAAAATCATAATTATCCAAAAAAAACTTTCATATAATCAATCCTAGGGATTAGATACATGCTTAAACACTTTCATACCACATCATACATGTCAAAATACACTTGCAACATGTTTCATAATACAAGTCACAACATCATACAAGAATTTAGTATTAAAAGTCAAACATTACATAATGGTTTACTTTTAACACAAGTTACCTAATTAATATTAATACCTTGTTTTGCAGCACTCTACTTTTGAACACAACACGCATCGACCATTCATAGGCCCACCGACTGTTTGTTTTGACCAAGATGGTTGGTTGAATCAGTGGAAGTGGAAGTTGAGTGGCCAAAATAGAAATACTAGAATAGGTAGATACTGAATAGGTAGTTTATTCATTATAGTAAAAGAACTAATTAATAACTATCAGGATTTGACTGTCAGAGCAAATAGAGATAAAACGACGATGGTTGGAGAAACCCCGCGAACTTTGCTAACAGAAACTAGAGATACCGCGAGATTTCGTTACATTTTTCATTCTTTTTTCCCTTTCACAGTCTCTCAAGCCTAAAAGACTCAGAAAATCTCGTTAAGCCATGAGCTCGAATCCGCAACGAACTCACTCGCTGGCGTTTAGGGTAATGCGGCTTTGCAACCCGTCGTTCCACGTCGAACCACAGCTCCGTCTCGACCCTGCCGATCTCTTCGTCGGCGAGGACATGTTCGACGATCCTCTAGTCGCCTCTAACCTTTCCTCTTTGTTATCTACCCACCTCAGTAAGTCCACCGACTCCTCCGATATTTCCTTCGCCGACAGATACTTCCTCCAACACCCTTCCGATGCTATGGGTCTATGGGCTTCTCCGGCCTCCTCCTTCTCCCCCAATCCTTCGGGTCTGACTATGCATTCTTCTTTCTTTTCTTATTTTTCGGTTAATTGCACTACAAATCCTCATATTATGATCAAATTTTGAATTAGTCTAAATTTTAAAACCTTTTAATAAATACCTCACACTAAAATACTGTTCCAGTCAAGTTTTTTTCCCCAACACAATATATTCAAGCTGACATTTAGTTTGAAGGTTGACGGCTGAAAATCTTGATTGGAACAAATAGAATTTAATTGGAATTTGTTGGCGTTTAGGACTAATTTGAAAATTGAGACCTATGTGCAATTTAATTGTAGGGCGATTTACTTGGGAGAGACATTCTGCAGCTATATTAGCATCAATAAAAGCTCAAATTTTGAAGTTAGGGACGTTATTATAAAGGTCAGTCTGTTTCATTTTGTTTCCTTTTTTCATGAATTTATTGCAATTTTTAGTTATAACAACTGTTTACAGATTGCATTGGTAATGTGTTTGAAACGCTAGAAATTTTTAATATCAATTGGTATTTTCGTTGGTAGTTTTAATTGAATTTAACTAAGCTTTTGTGTTGATAGCTTTGTAAATTGAAAAGTGTCAGATCATGTGCTTGTTTTCAAGCTTGGTTTAAGTATCTAAGTTCAGTAATATTCTTTTTACTTATAATCATCTCTGTTAAGTTTCTCAATGAAGTTTGGCTTGCAAGCTCATACACACTGTTATTCTCAAAATAAGTGTTTGATTCGATACAAAAGATCAAGAAATGTTCGGTTTATTGTAGGCAGAAATTCAAACAGAGTGGGAGAGAATCCTCTTCTTGGATACATCAAAATCACCTGTTGGATCGATACGTGCAGGCAGGCATTATGATTTCATTGTGGAACATGATGTCAAGGAACTTGGGGCATATATATGTAGCACCGAACTGGTTTTACTATCTCCTATGATTTATTTCATTAATTATTTTTCTCTAACACTACCATGATTTTTGCATGAAAAAAATTAGGATGGTTTGCACTGTGTTGTACAATGATGGTAGTGAACGGAAATATCTTCCACAGTTTTTCAAGTTTGTTGTTGCGAATCCGTTATCTGTTAGGACAAAGGTACTATGCCTTTAGAAAGAAATGAAATAAATATGATGTATATGCTGCCCCGGGCTAGCTCCAAAGGCATCCATTGCTTCTACTTTCTTCTTTGAAACCATTTCTTGGTTTCTTATAATTTTCCCTTCAAAAGAGTAATGTTTCTTGCCTCTGCTGTGCAGGTCCGCAATGTCAAGGTAGGTTGAGATTAATTTGGGTTCTCCAATGTAAGTGGATAAAGCCTAGATAGTCATGCTGCTTCAATTATGTTCTTTTTTTGTGTAAACTAAACTAAAGAAATAAAAAGTAAATGGCTTGGTGTTTATTGCTTCGTGATTTTATTGATAAAGTTGATATCAAACAAATTCCTAAAGGTAAAAGTTTGAGAGCCTCGCTATTTTATCCCTCCTTAACCGAGCATTGCGAGAGGAAATGGCAAGGGATACGAAAATTTTCTTTATTTTTGTTGTTTCTCATTTTATTATTAAAATCAAAGTCGGTCTTCAAATGTGGATACTTACGTTGCAACTTGCAGCTCAGTTTCTGCAACGTGTAAAGCTAAAATCTCATGATTGGAGTGTCCCGTTTGATTTTTTAGTTGTTTGTCTATGTGAAGAGCAGCAAATACTAGCACTGTTGTCTTTACATTTTTTTCCATATGCGTCATTAGTTGTAAAACTTGTGAGTCAACTTGGGCTTTCATCCTTTCGTAATTCGCTGAGTGTTTCCATCTCAGGAAACTATCTGTTTAGAAGCTTGCATAGAGAATCATACAAAATCAAACCTTTTTGTGGACCAAGTTGAGTTTGAACCAGCTCCTCATTGGAGTGCTACAATACTAAAAGCTGATGGACTCCTCCATTCTGCAGTTAACTTTTCAGCTGGGTCAGTAGTGGAAATACCGCTTGGAAGTTCTAATTGCTTTTATCTTCGGTTCTTTTAACTAAAACTATTGTAATCATTTCTTCTTTGTTAATAATTCACTTACTGGAAGAGTGATAATTAAGCCGCCTATCCTTGTTAGATCTGGTGGGGGTATTCACAATTACCTTTATCAAATTAAATTTTCGTCATCTGGTACTGAACAAGTGAAGGCAAAGAGGAGTAATATCCTTGGTAAACTACAGATAACATGGCGCACAAATTTGGGTGAACCTGGCGGCTTTCAAACACAACAAATTCTTGGCACTGTAAGTTAAGCACTCTTATTATTTTAGAAGACCGACTTTCATATCCCCTATTCTGAAATCTTTACCGCAATAAAGAAAATGTTTTTTTTATTATGGCTTAACATGAAAAAGAGGAAAAATACTATTGAATTCTATATGTTATGTTTATTGGGAGTTTGGGATATGCATAAATTCCAATACAAAAAAAAAGAGAGATTTATCAAAATCATTCGGATATGCTTTTCTCCTTTTCAGCCCATGAGCTGCCAAAAGATTGAGTTGCAACTTCTGGAGATTTCATCTTTAATCAATTTGGATTGGCCCTTCTCTGTATGTTTACATTTTGGACAAGCCATTTGTCGTAATCGGTTTTCGTCCGGGCACGAAAAATTTTCTTGACGGGAAAAGTGATGTGAATAAATAGTTTTGAAAATAATTTGAGAGTCGCCATCGGCCTTTTGGGTCAGGTAGGTCGAATACCTAAAAATTATTTTTTAAAAGAGTTTTAAGAAAACACCAATAAAAATAATGAACTGATCTGCGTTTATAACCAAAAATTCGTTCTTTTTAATAATAAAAAGGGATTCGTGGTCGATTACGTTTAGAGAAGGATTAACACCCCTACAACGCCCAAAATTGGTACTTTTTAATTATAAATTGTCTCTATTAAAACTATTAAAAATTTAAAATATATTTAATTTATAATCCTATTATTAAAAAAATTAAAAAAATATTTATTTAAAAATATCAGAAAAGGACTTCTAGGTGCCTTAAGACAGCTCTTTTCTTTGATATTGATTAATTTACATAAAATTAAATAATAATAATTTTTTTTTTATAAATTTTAATTTTAAAATACCAGAATAGGACATCCAGTTGTATTAAGACTGTCATTTTCTTCGATTTAAAAAAAATAAATATTAAAATAATTTATTTGAAATAAATATTTATTTATTATATATATATTTATGACTATATAATAAAAATATTTAAATATATAAATAAGTAAAATTAAAATAAAAATACAATTGGAGCTATATATTTAAAAGCAATAAAATAAATGAAAACATTTAAAATAAATGACTAAATTATAGTAAAAATAAAATTAAAAACCTAATTCATAATTAATCAAAATTATAGGGATTAAACATGCTATTTCTTTATTCTATAATTTTAGTGTCTAAAATAAACTTATCTAAAATTCGGATATAAGATTAAAATAAATTAAAAATATAAACTAGGGATTAAAATTTTATTTATTAAAATTAAGGGATTAAATCTGTTATTTATCCTAAATATATTATTTTAATATAAAGGACTAAAATAAATAAATTTAAAATTGAAAGATCAAATTAAAAGGATTAAAAACTCGATTTAGTGACTAAAATATAAAAATTACAAGTTGGAATGGCTGCGGAAAGGGTTTGACCTTAATGGAAATTACAGAAATACCCTCCCCAAAACGACGTCGTTTGGGAGAGGGTATTTATTCCCTAAGCCGGCTGGCCCTACGGGCCAGTTTCTCATTTCTTCAATTCTGTTCTCTCTCTAACAGAGAGAGAACAAAAATGTTCTCTGCCTTCTCTCTAGCTTCCCTCACCGAAGGGAAGCCGGTCACCGGACGGCAACCGTTTGCCGCCGTGACCATCACCGCCGGCCACCGCATCTGGTGGCCGGAAAATTTTATTTTTCCACCATTAAATAGATCGGACCGTCCTAAGGACGGTCCCGGTGTTCTTTTCTTCTAAATGGCTCCTAATCGGAGCAAATCTAAAGAATTACCTTCGGTTTTTCGAAAGTTTTGGTGAGATCCGGTGGTCGGCTTCCTCGGTAAGGTTCTCTTCTTCCTTTTTCTTTCTTTTCTGTTTCTTTACTGCGTTTGTTGTTGAGATCGTTGGTAGCATTTTGTATTATTTTTTTCGGTTTTGTCTCCCTAGGATCTGTTCTCTGTCTCCCTGTTCTTTCTTTGCAGGTTCGGGTGGTGGCTTTTATAGCCACCACCGGTGTGGTCATCGGACCGGTCCGAAGAGTGGGTTTTGGTGAGTCACCGGACTACCAGTGGTGACTCACCCCTGAGCCATGGTGTGGACGGCTGGCGTTGGAGCTTCTGGAGCCTTCGGTTGGGACGTGGCAGCGGTGGAGGCGGCGAGAGCAGCGGCGGCAGCCGCGTGGCCCTAGGGTATCATACCCTAGGGTTTGTATCTGGAGCCATCTGGACCGTTGGATCTTGCTAGATCCAACGGCAGCAAGCTGAGGCGGCTAGGGATTAGGGTTAGGAAACCCTAACTGAAACCCTAAATGTTTTTGGGTTTCAGTTTGGTTTGGGCCAGAAAATTGGTTTGTAATTAATTATTTTTAATAATATTTATATATGTATTTAATATATTTAATAATAATAATAATAATGATAATAATAATAATAATAATTATTATTATTATAATAATAATAATTATAATAATAATAATAATAATAATAATAATAATAATGACCAAACGACGTCGTTTTGGGGAGGGTATTTCTGTAATTTCCATTAAGGTCAAACCCTTTCCGCAGCCATTCCAACTTGTAATTTTTACATTTTAGTCAATAAATCGAGTTTTTAATCCTTTTAATTTGATCTTTCAATTTTAAATTTATTTATTTTAGTCCTTTATATTAAAATAATATATTTAGGATAAATAACAGATTTAATCCCTTAATTTTAATAAATAAAATTTTAATCCCTAGTTTATATTTTTAATTTATTTTAATCTTATATCCGAATTTTAGATAAGTTTATTTTAGACACTAAAATTATAGAATAAAGAAATAGCATGTTTAATCCCTATAATTTTGATTAATTATGAATTAGGTTTTTAATTTTATTTTTACTATAATTTAGTCATTTATTTTAAATGTTTTCATTTATTTTATTGCTTTTAAATATATAGCTCCAATTGTATTTTTATTTTAATTTTACTTATTTATATATTTAAATATTTTTATTATATAGTCATAAATATATATATAATAAATAAATATTTATTTATTTCAAATAAATTATTTTAATATTTATTTTTTTTAAATCGAAGAAAAGGACAGTCTTAATACAACTGGATGTCCTATTCTGGTATTTTAAAATTAAAATTTATAAAAAAAAATTTATTATTATTTAATTTTATGTAAATTAATCAATATCAAAGAAAAGAGTTGTCTTAAGGCACCTAGAAGTCCTTTTCTGATATTTTTAAATAAATATTTTTTTAATTTTTTTAATAATAGGATTATAAATTAAATATATTTTAAATTTTTAATAGTTTTAATAGAGACAATTTATAATTAAAAAGTACCAATTTTGGGCGTTGTAGGGGTGCTAATCCTTCCCTAAACGTAATCGACCACGAATCCCTTTTTATTATTAAAAAGAACGAATTTTTGGTTATAAACGCAGATCAGTTCATTATTTTTATTGGTATTTTCTTAAAACTCTTTTAAAAAATAATTTTTAGGTATTCGACCTACCTGACCCAAAAGGCCGATGGCGACTCTCAAATTATTTTCAAAACTATTTATTCACATCACTTTTCCCGTCAAGAAAATTTTTCGTGCCCGGACGAAAACCGGTTACGACAGCTTGGCGACTCTGCTGGGGATCGGTCAAACTTTTAAAAATCAATTATGAATTGTCTCTATTAATTAAAAATTAAAAATTCACATATTTAATTTTTAATTTTATCTTTTCAAAATTTTTATATTTACTTATTATTTTCATAATATTTATATGTTTCATTTTATTTTATTTGCAATTATTTTATTTCATTATTTATTTTTCTGTCAGAGGTATGAACATTTCTCCTCACACACAACACTTGCATTGCATCACATAAAGCTCTATAATTGAGTTATCCCTTTTAAGTGGGAGTGAAAGCGACGTCTTCGTGAGAATTTATTCTCCGTGTCAGACCTAGCAAGTAACTTTCGGGGTTCATATGCTCTATGTCTTCGTGAGAATTTATTCTCCGTGTCAGGCATAGAGAAATGTATCCCCTCGAATTGAACTCGATCCACTTTAGTCTGTGATGGACTAGGGTTGAGGGTTAGCAACCCAAGGGGGCACTAACAAGGACAATTCGGGTACCTTTATTCTTAGATCTGAAACCCTGCATATAAAAAACCTTAGAAACTCTTCCGATCCGAAGTCATGCCAAAATTTTGTCAGTAGGTGTACACACAGGAGAAATGAATTCTGACTTTCCTGTTAATTTATTTATTTTCTTTATTGATTAAATTACATGTTTATTTAAATTATTTAAATTTAGAAAAAGCATGTTTAAATAAAAATATTTATGTAAATGTTATTATTAAATTCCTTTATTATGTAAACTAATTTATTTTCTTTTTGTGTGTTCTTTATTTTTCTGTTTGCATAGCATCATACAGGATAAAAGGAATTGATCCTTGTGTTAATTGTCTCATTGGAAAGCCTTCATCTATGGATAAAAAGTGTTCAAATCAAGTAATTCTAAACTCAGAAGTAAGACAGTGGGCTGAGGACTTACAAAGACAAGAAGGAGACAGCCTGCAGGATGATTATGTATCTGACTTTGCCAGTTATGCTCCAGTGTCGCTAAAAAGAAATGATATGCAAGATTTGCGAAGTATTTGGGAAAGTTGGGATTCAAATAAAAAATTGCAGTTTTATCAGACTTACGGAGACATCCCATATTTGCTATATGTTGAAGTTGATGATGAATTGATCAGAGCCCTAATTCAATTCTGGAATCCAGGGTACAATTGCTTCACTCTCAATAAAGAAGATTTGGTCCCTACTATTGAAGAGTACACAACTTTGTTACATATCGAAGGGGCTTTGGAGAATCTAATCTATTCAAAGTCAATTAAAACTCAACCATTTCGAGTTAAATTAGCAAAGATTGCCGGGGTACGAGAAGAATGGGTGGCATCCCGTACAAAACAAAAAGGCGAAAGCGAAGGCATTGCTTGGACCAACATTAAAGAACTTATTCAGAGTCATCCATATATTAAAGTA